CCCTCCTTCGACAAAGGCTTCGGCTGCTGGGGAAATATCGTGGTCACACTCGCCTCGCGATATTCCTCCAAGGCTGATAAGGATAACATAGAGGCTGATACCGAATATTGTTTTTTCCCTTGTGTACTTTGAGTCTTGAAGTGCCTCACTAACGTGTCGTACCAATTCAGATTCTGACATGTCTGCTACACCTTCGAGTGCATCGTAGTCTACTTCGATGGGTTGGGCAGGGTTATCAAGCGACCCAGCAATAACACATACGTACTCGTCATTCGGAGGTGTTGAGTCGCAGTGAGTTTGCACTTCCATCAAAGGAGTACGACTCAAACCGCGATAGTGCTCGTGAACACCATCCGAGACCGCGAGCTCACCACAAGGAGATGCAACGACCAAGACAACATCCTTGGTCTTCCGCAGTTTTTCCTTTGGAGCTGCGTTTCCGAGAGGGTCCAATTGTGGAATTGATGCGAGAGCTCGACTCAAATAGTCAGCTCTCTTGTTGGATACTCCCTGGATGTGTGAGAAGGAGACAGCACAATCATGGTCACTTTTAAGGGAGTCAACAGTAGCGCGCATGCTATTAATCATCCTCTCGAGCTCAACATGCTCTATCAACCTGGGCTTCAATGGTTTGTCCGTCGCCCAGGATAAAGCACTGGAGTTGTCAGTATAGACGCGTATGGTGTGTATCTTCCTCCGAAGGAGGCCAACCCAGTAAAGGATACGCCGTAAGACGCAGAGCATTGGATAGCATTCCTTCCTATTGATATGCCAAGAGCGCTCCTTGTCGCTATATTCATCAGCCGTCTCCTCCAGCAGTACCCACGTGGAGTGATCTTCGACTGAATACTCGGAATTCGTCAAGTGAATTGAGTATCCGAAGCCGGAACCACATGCATCCGTGTATGCTACCACTGAGGTGAAAAAAGGCGGGAAGCTTGTGTGACGGCAATGGCCAGTCATATCCTCGTTCGCTAGAGTCAGTAGGCATTGTAAGACTCCCATTTGTTTGGGTGACAATTGCCATTTGCGATTCCACGCAGCGCGACAGTTTCCACCCTCCGAGCGACCAGCCCATCTCCTCATCCTATCAGCAACTACTCTTGCAATAGGATGGACTTTCAGTGGATCAAACCTGTGACCCGCTAACGAAAAAACGACGCGTCTTGAGACGGTCTCTGGGGCAAACTTGCTGTCCTCGTCAATTGGGATACACGAGAGGACGAGTGTATCGTCAGCGTCTTTCGACCAGAGAACGCCAAGATGCCGTTTTGGTGTTGCGTTACACAGTATTTCTTCGCGCTTCTCTTCAGGAAAGGCGTCGCCAACTAGCCCTGCAATGTAGCACAGCAAGCCGATAATAGTCCGGCACTTAGTCGGGTTCCCCATTATGCAGATATCATCGTAAAAGACTACGATAACAACGTCGGAAAAATAGTTCGAGGCATCTTCGACGCTCGATAATCGAACCTCTCTGCCGAGGAGTACTGAGAGGACAGCATTCAGTAGGAGAACGACCTTGCCGCTGAGAGAGCTCGGACCAAATGACACTCCAAATATAACACAATTGGTGTAATAGTGGCGGCCGTTGCTGGTAATCCGGAGAACCCGGTTCGAACCCAGCCTGATCTTATAAAAAGCTTTTTCAAGACCAATAAAATATATGGAACTTCCGGGCTGGTAATTCCCACGGATGGTATTCAGACAATCACTCACAGGCATTCCACGATAACTCGCTTTCCAAATTCTATCATTCAGCTGGCGAGCATCACTACATAAGCGCACTTTCGTGCTCTTATGCTGGCCTTGTGACAGCGGAAATGACACTATATCATCCGGGATGATAGTGGCATCAGACAGCTTCAGCGGAGGATCCGTGCAACCTTCAGTCCACCAAAACCCAGATCTAATGAGCTTATTTAGTTCCTTATCTGCCAGATCTTTCTGAGTCGCACTGAGATTCGCGAACATATCTACACTGTAGTCATGAGAGATCTGGGGTTTCACTGATTCGTCATTCATGTCCCAGTGAATTTCGTAGACCCAACGTTGCGATGGGGTATCCTTCCTCTCCCAACTAGAGAGAGGCCGGAGTAGACCATAATACTTGCTGGCGCCAGGTAGCGGACATTTCTCCCCAGCCTGTACTACTAGTTGATTAACGGCTTGTTCAGCAAGAGCTCTGAAGCTAGTTTTTCCTTTCAGTGGTTGCTTTGGGAGCTGTACTTTGATGCCATATTTACACAGATCAGGGTATCCAATGTTGATGTCAAGACACGCTGGTAAACCAGAACACTCTTCCGGGATAATCCAGCATTCTTGTCTACTCTCAAAACCGCGGAAGTTGACATTTACTGTCATCACGTTTTCAAGTGTCACTGATGAATTAAGGCCATTGACCCTTCGAGCGAGCGGGTGTTTCGTTATGTGATCAGTGTCGAGATGGCCTTCAAATAATACTTGATTAACGAAGGCCTCGCTTATGACCGTTACTGACGCCATCGTGTCGAAACCGCATCTTGCTGTGACCGGTTTACGACCAACGATAGATACGGTCAATGGTTCGACAAGTAGTATGTCATGATTACTCTTCATAGCAGCACAACAACCATCAGAAGAAACTTTAAACTTCACACAGTTCACATACATGTGCCCACTCTCACCACAGATGATGCATAACCTCTTATTCATTCTAGTCATTAAATCATACTGATTCACATTATGGGCAGTAGCAACAGCTTTGATACGGGCAGGAGGATTGAAGGACCTAGGGGCTCTCCTAATTAAGTCATCCTTATTGCCCGAGTGAGAGGAAGGATCCCCGGGCTGCCTAGGGGTCATGATGATCTCATTAGCAGAACTGGGGTTTTTATCATCAGTATGCAACCTTGGCCTCGGAGTACCTCTTACATCGCCGTCATTGGTGCTGTTCTCAGCGCGCCTCTTCAAGTTGAGAAAGGTGTCGATACTGGTGAACTTAGATTCATAAGCCACATCAGTCAGGATCTCCATCACACCAGCAGGGTCATCGGCAGTACGGATACGTTCCATGCAGGCCATAAGGGACTCCCTCTTCAATTGCCAGCGCTTGCTGGCGGCGACCAATTCGACATAGAGAAGACGGCGCATTGACCAGTTGATTTCAGTACCATCACAATGTTCAGATATCTTCTCGATGATCTGCTTCTCACGGGCAAATATACGACTCCAAGGTTGAGGATGATCTTTCATTTTTCCGGGTAGACCAACATACTCACGTAGTAGCAGTATAGGATTATGCTTATGAGGGCGTTCAGCAGAACTCAGAGCAATCATATCATCCTTCGCTTGCTTAACCATCCTGCGGCAGCCACCAATGAAACGTGTGAAAGCTTCAGCCATCTGGTTCGCAGTAGACTGATGATTGATATCTTGCCATGCCAAGAGACAGGAGCCAGTAGTCTGATCTGAGGAATTGTGGTCCTTCAGATCCTTCAAAGCCCCATTAGCAATTTGATCGCTTATGGTTCTGGGCGCAACCAAGCATATCGCTAAGAGTTGGAGTGGAGCGGGATCAAGTTGACAATTAGCTGTAGCCTGAGATATCATATCCCAAATTCTAGGATAGTCCCACGATCGCGGGTTCCCTCTCTCAACCATTGTGTAGTCATGGCCATCCGGATGAGTCTTGATGGACCAGGAGCGGGCCCATGCAAACACCGAAGAACCAAGGTCTTTACCTTTGGGGCAGCGGAAGGACATACATTTATAAATAGGATTACCAAGATTCACACCGAGTACTCTAATCAGTGTGTCGACTGGTTTCTTCCCAGCATATGTAGTGTCATCAGAAGACCGTGATACAAGCTGAGCAGCAACATGTATCTTCTTCAGGAACACCAGGTTATCTCCACTGGAGTCGTCAGCCTTCTCAGAAACATCACCCCTCTTGCCTTTCTCGGATGATGCACCATGAAAGGAAGGAGTGTCACTGATATGTTCTGAGTCAGAACTGTCATAGTCTCGCCTGTCGTCCGAGTAGATGTCAGAGAGATCGTCACCATAGTCAACCTCCTCAATGATAGACATATGAACTCAACTTCCCGGATAGAGAGAAGGGAAGTAAGCAAAAGACCCTGAACTACCCCTGTCCCACCGACAATGAACAAGGGACAGCCGTTTCACACAATCACACCTCACACATATTGCAGGAATACTGATGGGTGTGAGCGAGTATCTAACAGCCTGATGCAGACCGTTTGAGGCCAGCTGCTGTTCAGGGCCGTGGCCTCACTCCGGATCAATTGCAGCATCCAGAAGCGATGGGAATTACCTCTGAGAATGGTGAGTGCATTATCGCCACTACGGCTACCTAGCCACGTGTTGTTGTTATGATGATGATCACTACCAGTAAGTGTTGTCCCCGATCCCTACGGTAATTCTACTAAGCCAACAGGAAGCTTCTATGGACCTTGGCATTCCAATCCCCTCCCCGCGACGCAGGGTGGTCCCCTCAAACTCACCACCGACATGAACTACCTTGTGAAACAGGCCAACGAGGTCGGACTGAATCTCGAGCTCCTCGATTGAACCCGAATACAGAAGAGTTTCGTGTACGGTACAGTGTATCATATACTGTACTGTATATTCATAGTACTACTATAATAGACTACTATTATTAATAGTAGTGCGTCGTACAGTAGTACAGCATATGGTACATTTAGCCTCGTATTTCTGCTTAAAGGGCGCCAGCTGCTTGCATGCCAATATACAATGGTGTCTTCCGTGGCACTGCTCACTCTTGCTTACTTGTCGCTGATAGAGCTTCAGCTTTTTTGCTTGAAATAACTCCTTCTCACAAACCTTAAGGTATGCCTCTCAGTTTAAAGCTGATCTGATGAAGCATGTACCAGTGAATCTCGTGAAGATGTACCAGGACATGACTGCTGAACTGAAGGCCCATGTAGAGTAGAGGCCTTAGCTCTGTTATAGCTCGTGGTCGTGGTCATTGTACGAAACTAGACAGCGTGTCCGAGTGGTTAAGGAGGTGGGCTTGAAATCCACTAGGCTCAGCCTGCGTAGGTTCAAATCCTGCCGCTGTCGGGTCAACCTTTGAAGGAAAATTCATTTCTCACCTCCCGGTCCGCACTAGCCAGGCGGGCTCCGAACCAGACAGCGTGTCCGAGTGGTTAAGGAGGTGGACTCGAAATCCACTAGGCTCAGCCTGCGCAAGTTTGCATCCTGCCGCTGTCGGGTCATCATTTGAAGAGAAATTCATTTCTCACCTCCCGGTCCGCACTAGCCAGGCGAGCTCCAAACCAGACAGCGTGTCCGAGTGGTTAAGGAGGTGGACTCGAAATCCACTAGGCTCAGCCTGCGCAGGTTCGAATCCTGCCGCTGTCGGGTTATCCTACGGAGGGAAATTCATTTCTCACCTTTCGGTCCCCATTAGCCAGGCGCACACGAAGCCA